AGGGAAGAGGGTCAGAGGGAGAAGCAGACTCCCTGCCGAGCAGGGAGCCCGATGCGGGACTCGATCCCGGGACTCCAGGATCACGACCTGAGCCGAAGGCAGTCGCTCAACCGACTGAGCCACCCAAGCGCCCTACTCAGTTTTTTAATCCCATCTAGCATGTTACATGAAATCTGTTCAGAAGGAGGTCTACCTCTGACTTTTGGCCCTCCCTCCCATTTTCCTGGCCAGATGTGACAGAACTGGGGTGGGGGGGAGGCGGCACCTTATGGGGACACCCATTAAGGGCTGGGAACCCTGCCACACTCTGGCTCCTCTGTTGCAATCACAGCCTGGTTCCCTGAGGGGACTTGGGTCCACATCTCCCACACTAATATCTATAGATATTCTCTGAAAATGTTTGCTCTCCGCAGATGGCCCACCCTCTCACTCATTCTGGGAGCTTCTTTGTGGTTGTTCCCCAATAGGGGAGGGTTGACCTATCTCCTGATTTGGACCCCTTTTGCCCTTCTGTAATATTAATGATAACAGCTTCTGTAATATTGATAATACAAATAGCGAGCTTATAGTCAGCCCTGGTGTCAGGGCCGATACTCAGCCTGTACTGCGGTACTGGTTGTTTACTACCAGGATGTGCTCTGATTGGTCAGCGCCCTTGACTTCTGTTGTTAAATATTTTTAGTCATCGTGCTGTGCACAGATTATTTCATTAAATCCTTGCAAGCCTATTAGATAATAACTTTTTATTCCATCTTACAGATAGGGAAGCACAGATGGGTAAAGGAACTCATCCAGATGGGAGAGCTGGGCCTTGAACCTGAGCCTAGCTGCCCCTGAGCCTGTCCTCTCAGCCACCCCCCTTTCCCCCGGAGCATCCTGACCAGCTGCAGCTTCTGCATCCTAAGGTGTGAAGACATACAGTTCAGACTGAAATAAGGGATTGAGGAGGGGGGCACGGGCAGCTGCTCTCTCAGGCTACGGCAGCCCCGGTTTCTACAGGGAACACTCCCGATTTGGAAGCCAGGCCAGGAACCAAAGCTCTTGGGAATTGGGCTGATTCTTTGCCCCCCATGCCAGGAGCAGATCCAGCCAGCTGTGCTGTGTGGCTGCCAGGGCCATTCGGGTCGGTCAGCAATCATGTCCGGAGCCTCTGCCGTGTGCCAGGCATGACTCCAAAAGCAGGCAAGACTCAGGCCTTGCCTTCAGAGCATCAGGAACTTCTTGCCCTCCTGCTAAGAGGGGCCAGCTTCAGGCCTTGTCTTTTTTTTTTTTTTTTTTTTGACAGAGAGAGCAGAAACTGGGGGAGCGGCAGGCAGAGGGAGAAGCAGACTCCCCGCTGAGCAAGGAGCCTGCTGTGGAACTCAATCCCAGGACCCTGAGGTCACAACCTGAGCCGAAGGCAGACGCTTAACCGATTGACCACCCAGGAGTCCCCAGGCTTTGTCTTTATTTGGTGCCCCCACCATGTCCTTGAAGTTCCCGCCCTCTAGGCTGATGACCACCGTGCTGATGGTCAGGGAGAAATCCAGACTCACAAGATGCTGGGGACAGCTTAGGGCCACAACCATCTCTTCTTGCACCTTGCACTGGGCACTGCAGCTGGTCCGGGCCTCCAGGCCATAGGGTGTGGGCATGAAGACTGAGACTGACCAAAGGCACGGTGCCAGGGAGGGAGAGGGCTGCAGGCTGTAGCAAGACCCTCAGGCCCATGATGCGTGGGCCTTGGACCCAAATCTATCCTGTCCCCTCTGCTGATGCTCTTGGCTCAGTACCAGGCAGTGAGAAGCTTATGGGGAAAGGTCCTGAGGCCCAGCATGTCCAACAGAGAGGGTAGGAGGGGGAGTGGGGGCTAATGGAGCCTGGGCATCACCTCCATGGGGACGTGCACGGTCCCTCACAGATCCCTCAGCAAAAGGCCACCTAAAGCCCCCTAGGCTTGCAGCCCACCAGCCTCCCTTCCCAGAGCCCTTCTTGTCAGTAGTATTGCTGGTGTCGAGATGGACTTCTCCTTTTTTGCCTGTGTGCATTCCAGAACTGCAGCTTTCTGAAAGAGAGCTGGCAGCTGCTAGAGCTAAGACCCCAGAACCTAGCACCCTTTCCAAGTCATGTGTGACCTTATAGCCCCTTCAGGGACCATAGCCTCACCAAGGCCCCCTCCCCTTGTTTCCCTGGTAGAGGGGGTGACTGCAGAACACTTAGCTTCCTCCATGGGGAAGGGCAATGGTGGGGGAGGGTGTAGAGGAGGAGGGTCCTCTGCTCAGGGCAGAAGGCTAAGAAATGCTGCTCCTGGGTGTGTCTGGCCAACAGTCCTGGCCCCTGGCAGACACTGGGCATGATGCTCAGGCAAGGACACCAGAACGGGCACACCACATCACAGAAAAGTCCCATGATGCTGCTTGGAACAATGGTGGCGTCTGGGCAGAATCCCTCACTGCCAGGGGCTGCTGGGCAGTTAGCAGAGCCACGGAGAACAGGCACCCCCAGGAGGGAGGGAGGACATCAGGCTCTGGCCCCACCTCACAGCACAGCCCTCTACGTATAAACTCAAAGCTGTCCCAGCTGCCTTGCTCATTCCCCACACATGCTGACAAAGGGGTCAGGGAGCCAAAAGGCCAGCCATCTGGCCCAAGAAGGCACTTTCAACCTTCTCCCTGGGGGTGGTGTAGGATTTGGGTTAGCAACCTGGGCAGGGGCTTGGCTCTTCCTTCCTTCCCCTAGCCTTGCCCTCAGGAAGGCAGCTGAAGGTCAGCTGTTTGTGCTGAAGTTCCTGGCCAAAAGCCAGGCCCAGCTGGATGGACACCCCTGAGGAATGTCCACAGGGGCAGGTGGGACCACCATTGGGGTGAGGAAAGGAAGAGACTGTGGGGCCCAGACAAGGCACAGCCAGCTCAGCTGTGTTCTTCTAGCAGTGCCTGAGTCAGGACTGAGGGACATGGGCTGTGATCACCTCAGTGAGAGGACTCTGAAGTGCTCCCAACACAAGGGATGAGGAGGTAGGGGTGGGGACCGGATGTGCAGGGTGGGAACTCAAAGCTCTTATGCCTAGTGGACCACAGCCCCACCAGGGAGAGAACAGCTGCAGATGGGTGTGGTGCACACTGTGCACCTCGCCCTTCCCCGTGGCAGGCTAGGTTGGCCGTAGGCCTGAGGCTCTGATGTCTGGCCCTCAGCTGTGGCTCCCAAACACAGGCCGGCCCCATCCTGCAGTCGCTGAAGGGCAAGCCTGAGTTTCCTGCCGACCCCATGGCAGACGGCTAGCTGGACTGTCTACCCTCTACTACCCTACCTGAAAGTGATCCAGAGGGGCCTGCTTTCCGACTGTTGCACAGACCCCAGCCCCAATGCCCACCAGGCCACAGGCAGTGCTTGCAAGGACCCAGGTAGGGGGAGCCCCAGGGAAGACCGCTGTTGGGAGACAGTTGAGGAATGACTGAGGAAATGAGTGGGAAAGACTAAATTTCCAGTCCAGCCAGTGGGCTCAGAACTTGCTTCCCTACACTCGGAGACATCGCTCTGGCTGGCAGCAGAGGCCCCTAGGGGGCTGGGAGGCCTGGTAAGGGGCATGGGGTGGCCCTTGCTGGCCTCTCCCAGAACTGCTCTCCTTCCTTCGGGGGGTGTGATGGGAGATTGAGTTAACTTTTTGTGCACGCGCAGATCTCTGGAAGTAAGCCGGGTTTGAAGTGCTTGCCTCTCTAGTTTTACCACCTTAACTTTTGTAAATAGGATGTAACTTGTGTTGTCTAAATCATCTAGTCTACATACTGCCCAGCTTAGGGATGAAGCAGGGCTATTTTACGGACCCAGCAGCATGGGCCCACAGGTCCACAATTACAAAGTGTAACTGCCTAGCAGGGGAGAGGGGGTGAAAGGGGAAACAGGACAAACAAGTGTGGAGGGAGAGCAATGGGGGTCACCCTCATGAAGATGGACCTAGCTTGTGACCAGCAATTTCACCAACAACCTGGCCCTGCAGCTACCTTAAGGGCATAGGCTAAGGGCAATCAATGGCTTGGTTCAGATCTCCCGTAGCGGGGACAGTCAGGATGCTGGCACTTCCAGCCCTCAACAAAACTGGTCTGGCCAAAACCCAGTCCGCTGACAGTCAAGAAATGCACTATTAATACACGGGTTCAACAGGCATCACCTGGCAGTGTCCTAAGCAAACTGTGACACGTATCACCTTCCAGAAGAGGGGGTCTGCCTGTCATTACTGAATGCACTCCCCCCACCCCCAGCAGGAGTCAGAAGGCAACTTTCCAGGCATTTCCCCAGAGGAAATTTTGTGAAATAAATAGATGTTATCAATTCAAATGAAGACCATTAACAAGATGGAATAGTCTCAACTTCAAAAACTTTATTTTTGTCTCATCCATTAAGGGCACAGGATACCTTCATCAGCTCCAGCTTTTTTCTCCTTACAGAGTTCTGTCCCATCATCTAAACCCAGGGTTATCCTGTGTGGGCAGCTTCCTAGAACCAGAAGATATTTTTGCCTTCTGGGTTAAGTACGCTCATGTCTGTTAGCACAAGCTGCACTATTTAAAGCAGCAGATTCCCAGCTGCCCAGTAAAACCCATAAACCTCTACATCAGGATGTAGAGAAGATGTGCTGGGGTAGACAAGTTTCACCCCACTTGGGTTATCACAACTAGTAAATTCAACAAACTGACATCACCACAGTGAAAGTCTACTTGTACTCTGACACTGCAAGGTACTCCACAGCACATTCCACCGTCCAGGATCACACCAATGTCCTTCAGAAGCACAATGTTGAGATCATCACAACTGGGAAGTCACTGTTCCAGAGCTAGTTATGATGAACCTTCTAGAAAACCAGTTCAGTATATATCGGACTCCGCCTTGATGCCTCAATGAAGACTCATTAAGCTGCCAAGAATCAAACCTATCCTAGCTTGCCTAAGTCCTTGAATTTGAAACCAAATTTTTTTTTTTAAAAAAAAACAGAAGCTACGTTATTAGGGCACAACCATCTTTCTATAGCTACCAGCTTCAAATACACAGAATGCTTGTCTGATGACCAGTGGCTCTTGTGCCCATGTCTTGCTGACATCTAGATACTATGCATATAGCGGACCATCACTGGTCAAGAAAACTAGCTTTATACTGAAAAAAAGCAGCTTAGACAAAGAGTTCTATACTTGTGGACTTGTGTTTAACTTGTACAAAGAAATTTGTAACTACTTTTGTGTATAAATGGTTCGTCTACCGAGCAAAACCAGGTATAAACTAAGTTCAAACTTCAGGATACAAAGAAACTAGATAATGGATGTATTTAAACTTTGTATATTCAATGTAGGTTTTTGACACTTAGTTGAATAAACAAGTTTATTTGTAAACTTAAGTCAACATACATAATTGACCTAAAGATTTCAATAGAAGGGTAATTTTTAAAACCACTTGGAAGGCCATCTCTATAAAGTGATTTTCCCAGGACCATGTATCAGATGTAACCTAACTGGACACCATCTTAACTAGCAGAGGTTCAAAAAGCTGGAGTTGTGTGCCCCTCCCCCACAGCAAGTTTACTCTAAGGGTTATTATAATACAAACTCCACAAGGAAAAGAACTTCGGTATTGTTTCCTCTTGGTAGAGAAAAACTTAACCTAGTTATGAGAACAACCACTACACAAAGAAAAGCTGCACTAACTAGTTTAAATATTATTAACAGATGATGCTGGTGTGAATAACTTGTATTATAGTCTAGAGCCCTTATAAATAAAATCCCCCCAATTAGTGTTTGCATTAATCAGCTAGAGGATTAGTTAACATGTGGTAGAATGAGGACTTATGCAAGGTATACTTTGCAAAGCATTTTACTATTATGAAAACAAGTGCAGTCTAGTTAGGAGAAAACCAACTGGACTTTAAATTACACACACCTTAATGACAAGACTCCCCACCACATGTGAATGTAAAACATTTAATTTAAAAATGTTGACACTACAATATATAAAATAGCTATTATAAATGCACATAGTGTATTCTATAGCTGCCAGGTTTACTTTTTTTTTTTTTTAAGGAAACTGTAAGTTACACTGTGGTTAAGACTTGTATCTTCACCCTTGAAAAAGCCCACATTCTATCACAGTGATGTATGGTCAGACTTAACAGCCCCAATTGTTAAACACTTGGATCAAGTCATAACCAGTTTTATTGCAAAAGGACCCTGTACACATTTATCAATTCTAGTACCTTAATAGCTACCCAACAAGTCATTAACATACAGAAACATGCATCATGAGAAGCAAGAAATTATCACCCATCCCTTCTGCATATTAGCAACTTGTCACTCCTGAGCCACAGTGCTCACATCACTGAGGTCTGTGAACAGTCACTTTTCGCATTCATCCTGAGTGAAAGATGGAATGACTTAAGTACAAATGCAACATATTATAAACAATTTCTTACAAAAAAAGTCACAAATTAAACCAAAGTATTTTACAGAATTTACTACAAAACACCATAAAAACTGCCTTCACTTAAGCTCTCTCTCCCCGTATCCGGCGAGCCAACTGGATGTCTTTGGGCATGATGGTGACTCTCTTAGCGTGGATGGCACACAGATTAGTATCTTCAAATAAACCCACCAGGTACGCTTCACTGGCCTCCTGTTGAGGACAAGAGCCACACTATTAAACTCCAGTCGACGAGGAGAAGCCACGTACGAGCCCTCCGACCCTACTACAGCCGTGCTCGCCTTACCTGAAGCGCGCCAATGGCGGCGCTCTGAAACCTCAGATCGGTTTTGAAATCCTGGGCGATCTCCCTCACCAACCTCTGGAAAGGCAGCTTCCGGATCAGAAGCTCGGTGGATTTCTGGTAACGACGGATCTCCCGAAGCGCTACGGTCCCGGGCCTGCAGCGAGCAGGGGAGTGTAAGCGGACACCCGGGGACGGCCAGGGCCCGGCGCCAGCCCCAGGACGCGCTCCCACACGGGCCACGGGCCGCCCCGTCATTGTTTTCCTGCCGCCTCGCCTACCTGTAGCGATGAGGTTTTTTCACCCCACCAGTAGAAGGGGCGCTTTTCCGGGCGGCTTTAGTGGCCAGCTGTTTGCGGGGCGCTTTCCCACCCGTGGATTTACGGGCAGTCTGCTTGGTTCGAGCCATTTTCTTTTACCTAAGGAAGACACCCGTGACTCCGGGGCCGCGGCGCTCGCCCCCCGGAGGGGGGACGGGCTCGGTGCCCCTGCCCTCCCGCCTCTTCGCGGCGGCAGATGGCCCGGGGCCGCCGCCTCCTCCCCCTCCCCTAATGACTCAGGCTGCGAGGAGCGGCAGCAGCCTCCCCCGGGAGGGGGGGCGCGGGGAGGAGTCACTTCCCCTCCTCGACGGGCGGAGGCCCCGCTTGCCCGGAACCCGGCGTCGGGACCTCTGAATCACCACCGGGAAGGAGGCGGAGACGCGGTTCCCGAACGAAGCCCCAAGGGAAAACCTCCCGGCCCCACACCCAACGCCAGCGGCCCGAGCAGCCCGCACCAGCCAGCACTCCGCTTTCAACGGCTGCGGCCCGCGGCAACAACGGCCGACGAGGTCTCGAACCACGAGCGAACCCGCCAACACTTACCCAATGCCGAAGTCTTAGACCGCTTCTCCGACCGCCGCGCCGCTCCTGCTGCCCAAAGAAGAGCCGCAGTGGCCGAGCAAAGAAAAGAAACCCGTCCAACGAACGACCAAACCGCTCTGTGCTCCAAACCCCCCCTTTGCCTCCGCTTTTATACCCACGCTTCACGCTGCGTCTCTGCGTCATAGAGGCCTAATTTGCATACACCAACGACTTTTTCTATTGGCGGGAGCTTTCGCCGACGCGCTGACATCCCCGACACAAAGGCCGTGCTTCGGCCTCGCTCCCGGATTGGTGGGCATCTAGGCCGCTGATTGGCTGTTAAAGTGGCCTGATGATTGGATGAATGCAAAGAGGAATGGACGAATCAGAGATTAGCACGAAGCAGCTCTTCTGATTGGATAAAATGAAGCTATGTTTGGATCCTTCCCTTGGTTCCAAAGCTCTACAATAGAAAGTCAATGCAAATGAATTGCATTGGTCTCTATCAGGACTTAAGGGTCAGGGTGGGTAGGAACCTGACCAAATTCGCAATTCGCTAATAAAATGCAGGAGGAGAGGTTACTTAAAGGAAATTCTTGTCAATATTTTCCAATATAAAATTAAATGTGTTCTCTTGACTATTTACTTTCACATTTTGATGGTTATGTAGATAGTGTAAAAGAGAATTAGAATTCAGCAAATCGTATTATACTACCAAGTATTTTATATATCACGCATATATATTTTAACCAAAAAGTAGTTCTTTTGTTTGGTGGTATAGGTGGGGGTAAATGGTAGACACACAAAAATATGTCAATATATGATTTTATAAGTACTGTTTTGTATGTTCTTAGGCTATCACAAAATACTTTGTGATTTCAATAGCTTAAAGAAGTAACCTACTGAGCAACATATTTTTGAATTATGTAATTCAACTGAATGAAATGATTACAGCCAAAATGGAAATAGTCCTAGGACAGTATTTGCATGCCCATAAAGAATAAACGAAAGAAAATTAAATATGTGCCCTTGTATTTAGTGGTATATTCTCGTAGGTACTACTTCTAAGAAACATGACAAATGTATAAAAATGGTAATCCCTACCTTTGCCTAAATAAATGTCTTTGATGGATTGTAATTTTCAGTTCTCCTGCTGATACAGGTATGTAAAATACCAAAGTAGGGTAAAGTTTAAGGCCAGCCAAACAAAACTCAGAAAATTGAAATAGAGCTTTGTGCATTTTATTCCATAGTTCCTACTCTGGGTTTAGTGAATTTTTTTCCACTGAATATTTTAAATTATCAAAATAAAAAAATAGCAAAACCATGTACATGTAATTTCAACTCAAACGTTTATTGTACATAAATACAAATACCTCAAAAATTTACTTGTGACATCGAAGGTCTGCTCTCAGTATCAATAGTGAGGGGGAAAATGAGCAATATGAAAAACCTGCTATGGTAAAAATGTCTTTGACCCAATCTCTGATATCAAATTCCTCTAATTTCAGACCTCTCAATCTTAACAGGCACAATTTGTATTTAATTATCACATACCTAGACTTTTATGTGATAATTTGGTCAAATTTTTTTAAATCTTTTTTTTTTTAAGATTTTATTTATTTATTCATGAGAGACGGAGAGAGAGAGAGAGAAGCAGAAGGAGAAGCAGGCTCCCAAGGAGCAGGGAGTCTGATGCGGGACTCGATCCCAGGACCCTGGGATCATGACCTGAGCTGAAGGCAGACGCTTAACCATCTGAGCCACCCAGGCGCCCAATTTGGTCAAATTTAATTTCTGCCTTCTGCCCAAAGTTTAAGCAGGGGAGAAATTTTTTTCTTTTTCATTCATGCGATGCTGAGAAACCAAGATGGAGGCTCTTGCCCTGTCCTCAGAACCTGAGTAAAGTTAAGAATCAGGGCACTGGTTAGATCCCACACAAAAGACTCTCAAATGTTCTGGGATGTAACCAGAAAAATACCCTGTTAACATTTTTGACTGCCCAGATGGCCTGGGGAAGAAATGGGTTCCTAAGTTAATAATGCCTTTGTGTTCCAAGGATTTTCTAAAAGATCCAGAATCCTGTCTGTCTCAAGCCTCCAGAGGACAGACACTCCAGTTTTGTTTTTCTTTTTGCAGTTTGACTAATAACTAGAGGAGAACTAATTGCTCCAGCAGAAACTAGGTATAGATTTACATTCATCTACTTAAAGGACGATTAAGTCCTTCTTATTCCGCAGTCATGCAGGTTTTTCTTTTTCCTAAGTTGGCACAGGAGAGGAAAAGTTTGTCCTTCTTACTCCGCAGTCATGCAGGTTTTTCTTTTTCCTAAGTTGGCACAGGAGAGGAAAAGCAACACAGGAAATGGGAAAAAACTAAAAGTGTTTATACAGTCAAAACAATGTAGAATGTGATGCGGCATGTAGGCTACTGTCCTAGTTCCTGTTCTGCCATGGGCTTGCTGAGTAACTGTGCAAGTTACTTCTCTGAGTTTCGGTTTCCTCTTTTGTAAGTTAAACAGTTTGGATGATATCATCTCCCAGTTTTACCAGTACACACTCATCCTGAAGCTTATGGTATACACTTACTTAAAGCCTAGTGCTATGGATTATATTTCTTCATTCAAATCACACTCAGGTATTTTGGGGATAACATTAAACCAATTACTTGGATTTAATAACAGGGTTAAACCAATACACTACAACTTTTATTTGTCCTTTTGGAATTTTTCATCTTCGCACGCCCCTAGTGGTTAAATTGATTTGGCCTGTTTAGGAAATACCAGTTTCTCAACTTTGTAGGCAGACAATTTGGCTTCTGATGTGAGGTTACTCAGAACTAAATAAAATGTCATTCTTAAACATTAACAATTTTCCATTCACTCCACCCTCCCTCACCCCTAAGGTTATTGGGAACGTTTTTCCTTAACGTGACAATCATTAGTTAACCTATCTAATCAAATATAAATGTCTTAAAAACAAGGGATTTAAATAGATTCATTATGGAAAACAAAGCTAAATGACAACTGTCAATAGATCTATAAAGGACTTTGTAAAGGGGGAATTGGCTTATTTGACAAAAGCCACAGAGTGAAGAAGTTCACCCTACCAGTGGGAAATGGGGTCGGAAAACACAGAAAAGCTGAGGTCCGGAGAAGGAAACTGCAGGGGATTTTAAATTGCACCCCCTACTCAACCCGAGACTCTTGCTTCTGGACAGTGTGCGACGCTTCTCAACACCCCTGCAACTCGTCAGTGTACCTGAGACTATTCTAGACGGAGATTAAATTCGTCCTTGGCCCCTAACGTACTGGAAACAAGTTGGTGAGGCCAGGTGTCGAGTTGGGAAGGGACCCAAGTCGTGGAGTTCCAGGTTTCAGGGTTGGTAAAAGTTTACGGAGCGCCTCCGCAAAAACGCGGGAACAGAGTATTGGTCGTGTAGCTCAACTTTGGCAGAGATTTTTTTTTTAAGATTTTATTTATTTATTTGACAGAGACAGCGAGAGCAGGAACACAAGGAGGGGGAGAGGGAGAGCCGACTTCCCGCCGAGGAGGGAGCTCGACGTGGGACTCGATTCCAGGACCCTGGGATCATGACCTGAGCCCAAGGCAGACGCTTAACGACTGAGCCACCCAGGTGCCCTTATGAAAAATTTCTTTCTTTTTTTTTTAATAATTTTTTATCGTTATGTTAATCACCATACATTACATCATATAGCAAAGATTTCTTAAGCTGACTTCTAGTAGGCCGACTTTCCTTCATGCCTCCCGTTAGCCTGGCCGCAGGAATGAAGAGGATGTTGGCTGACTACAGGTGCCTGCAGCACAAAGGCCCAGAGCTAAGAACGGACAATACAGATTCTGAAGCACTACTGGGGCCGGCATCAGCACTGAACCCAAAACCTACTAAGTCTGATGGCGAGATAATTACTACACTGTTGGTGCCGAAATTACACTTGGACTATTTCACATAAGTCGTTAGGGCCTCTCTAGCTCTGGGCCCTCTCTACTCCACACGCTCCAGTTTCAAGGAAACCTCCCCTACGAAACTGGAAACGGACTGGTAAGAAGGAGGAACGCGGCGGGACTGCAATCCCCACAAGCCGTGGCGGGCCCTCCGCATCCGGGACATCGTCTGCAAGGATCCCTGGGTATTGTGGTCCATTCCTTTGGCAGCAACCCTCTGCCGACGGTAAAATTCCAGCCGAACCGAGGACCACAACTCCCAGCAACCCTTGCTGCCGTGCGGGGGGTCTTCACGTTCTCGTGGCGCGGCGCAGGCGCACTGGGTCCTCGGCGCGGACCGCGCAGACTGAATAATAAAAGGGGAGCGGCGAAGAGGCAGGAAGACAGGACCATGTCGAAGGGCCCCGGGCCCGGCGGCTCCGCAGCTTCCTCGGCGCCCCCGGCCGCTACCGCTCAGGTGCTGCAGGCACAGCCCGAGAAACCGCAGCACTACACGTACGTAGAGCCCCCCCCGCCGCGCGCGCACGCCTGACGTCAGCGGCCAGCGTGAGTCACGCGCGCAGGGAGAGCGCGAGGCGGCCTCTCCCTCCCCCCCTTCCTCCTCCGGCCCGGCCCAGACCGGTTCCAACCTGCTGGGGCCGGTCCCAACTGCCTCCATCTGCCACCAACCCCTGGTCGGGCTGTGGGGCGGGAAAGCCGGGCCCCGCCGCCGAGTGGGGAAGGCGGGAGTGCGGGGTTCGGAGAGCGCACATCTCAGGCCAGGCCTGTGAGGCCTGTTTTTCAGACCGTAAAACCACAGTATCAGGCACTTGCGGGGCGATAAGCCCAGCACAGAACCAGGTTGGGTGCCTCGGGGGCCAGCCCTAGAACCGCTGCGAATGACGGTTGGCGCAAGGTTCTGTCAGGCGCCCCGCGTTCCTTCCCCGGGAGGCCTTTTGTGTCCCTGAAGCCCGTATGTTGTCTGTGGAGGCCTCTCTTGCTTGGAACTCGCTGGGACAGCTGAGCCGGCTTGAGTCGGGGACCCCGAGGGCGATGGGGTCCGAGCGTGTCTTAAGCCCCAAGCGGAGTGCACTAGCAGAGGGAGCCCCGACGCTCACACCGCAGGAGTCCAGTAGCTGGAAGACCCCCTCCCTGGGAATTTGCGTGTGTCTGAGTGTAGGTTCTTGCCTCCTCCTTGTGTCCTTTCAAGCACGTTAAAGGACCACCTAGTGCTA